GATTCCTCCTTTCTCAAGGAAGCCAAAGAGCAGGGGAGGAATGTTCTGTGTCAACCGTCAGAGCTGCCCCAGGGGACCCCCGGCCACACAGATGGGACTGAGGGTCCGCTCACAAGCCAGCCCTGTTGCGGGGCCTGAACTGGGCCCACGTCTGAGTGTGTGCAGCACCTACCGAGGGGGAAGGAGCGGAGAGGGGCCGGGGCCCTCAGCTGGTCCTCGGGCTCCGCCGAGCACGTGCTGCCAGAGGCCTCGCAGGCTGCCGCTCCCGTTACTGCCGTTGAACAGGTCTGTCTGCGGCTGGGTGAGCGGGACTCGGGGCCCCTGACGCTCCCTCTCAGGGAGACTTGATGTGAGGCCAATGGGAAGTCAAAACAAAGACTGATTATTTTGATGATTTTATTCAGCCAAAATGAAAATGAATCTGGGAAATGAATCCTTTATACAAAAACCCTCAAATAGATGTTTTCCAAGCAGAACTGAAACTTGAGTTTCAGGCCTCAGGGCCTCGTGGCCTCTCGCTGGCTCGGGGTCAGACACCACCTGGCTTCTTCCCTGACAGACTCCTGGGCCGTTGCAGAGCGGGCCCCCCTGTGACCAGCATGGCTGTCGACAGCGACAGCAAGCGGAGTCTGGCTCTGTGCTGAGCAGCTTGTGCGTGATCACGCGTGATCCACGCCATGTCCTCTGGGCCAGAGACCTGCAGTGGAGACTCCCGAAAGGTGACTTACACTGGTAAATGGGCTCAAGCAGGCGTCTTTTCTGCCACCCTGTGTTACTGACCTCCAGCCAGAGGCAGATTCAGAAATTCTAGTCTTCTCTCCTCCAGTCGCACACGTAACCGTAAATAGTTAAATGGAGAAGTGCGGGAACTGATCTGAGACCCTCTGAGCAGCTTCCCAGGAGAACGGACAACCCCCAGACTCCTGACGAGGCCTGCACCCCGCTGCCTCGCTGGGCTCCATGACGCTGGCCTCCTGGTCTGGGCCAGGCGGGAGAAGCCGGGCACGCCGAGGCTCAGGAGTGCGACCAGGACTCAACCACCAGGCCTCGCCTTGGTCTGGGCCCGGCCCGGATGCCCCCTCCCTCTGCTCACAGGGCTGTCACCACCTGAAAGCAAAACCTTGACCCAACTGGTTAATCCTCCTGGGAGGGGGGATTCTGAATGTGCAAGAGAAAAGGATGCCCAAGTCCCTGGGGTGTCAAGATAGGAAAGATGTCTTCAATAGAGTCTGATGAGCTTCTCAGTGGTGGTTTCATAGCAAAACTGTACCTTCTGCAACACCGGACGATCTGTTGTCAAAGGAAAGTCGTATGTCTCTGCAATACTTTCACTTAGGAACTCGGATACTGACTTTTCAAATGAGAGGGTTCATGTGAATTACTTCAAAACCATTCATTCATTCAGTAAATCCCAAACGTGAGCAGGGCACCAAGCTAGGCACGGGGTGCAGGGGGGTGTGGGCTGGGTGCACGTGTATTCCCTCAAGGGGCTGCATTTACAACAGGGCTTAAAAACATAGCTTGCTCTTTTCAGAACCAAATACACTGCATAATTTAAAGAACAGGACATCAATGTAAAAAACTCAGCAGAAAAAAAGGGGCAAAGTAAAGAACGTTGAGTCTGTGTGGAGCTGGAGCTGGTCTTGGAGCTGAGTTTAATCAGCCTGGGTTTACCAGACTGGAAAGCTGTCTGAAGCTGTCATCCCCAGTCCCGCCGCCTTGCAGGAGCCCTTCTGTGGGCACAGAGCGCCATCTAATGGAGACACAGCCTCAGCACATGCCATTAGTGCAGAAAGGACAGTGTCTCCCTCCAGAGAAATCAGGTTGAGCTCATTAAGTGCATTGCCACACGCCAGAATCAAACCCTGTGTTACCATGTGATGCTCACCCTGTGAGGTAGTATTGTTCTCATTGTTTTATCAACCTTTAATCCCTCATTAACTATCTGGGGCTCTGAGGAGCAAACCTTCAGCTGCTTCTGAGGTTCGCGTTGAGAAAGGGCAGGGTCCCTTGTCTATTTGACCTGAGAGGAGCCTTAATAACAAGACGGCCGGTTTCTCAGAGGTCCCTGGAGCTGGGTCCCTGACATTGGAGACCGGGACAGCCCTCCTGAGGTCACACTTGAAGGAGTGACTTGATTCGTTCAGAGAGACATGGAAGAAGAAGAGGAGAAGAGAGGTCCCAATGAGTGACCATGCTCTTTAAAACAAAAATAAAAATAAACATTAAGAGTTGCTTAAAATTCTGCGTGCCCGCAGTGTGCTGGCATTATTTAATCTTCACGGTGACCCATGATAGAGACACTTTGGGCTCCATTTGACAAAGGAGTAAACTGAGGTCCAATGTCACATGGCTAGTGTGTTCCTTCCCAACCTCTCCTCGTTTTCGTTCCTGTCGGATTTTGTACCCCCTCTGTCCTCAGGACACTGGAAAAGAGGTGGTAACTCAGGACGGGGCCAGTGACCCCAGAGGGCCAGCTGGACGCACCAGTTGCTCCTCCTGCAAGCCAGGCAGAGCTGCCCGCGTTTCCCACGCCAACTCACGAGACTCATTTCCGCCTTTTCTCCGATTGTAAATATAAACGCATGTCTTTCGTTGGGGAGACGTGGGACTGAAAACCCTGGAGGCTAAAATCATTCCTCTAACCCAGTGTGACAATAGCTGCTCACTGCCCAGCCCCGGGCCCCACCCAGAACCTGGAAGGTTCTCTTTGGTGACTGGCTTTTTTTTTTTTAATCCTAGATATATTCTATTCTGTTTTATTTTTTTTATAATTAATTTACTTATTTTTGTTACAGATGTTTCTCCTTTTTCCCCCACTGATCCCCCCCACCCTGTCCCCAGCTTTGTTGTCCATGTCCATTGTTCATGCACATAAGTTCTGTGGTTCATCTCTCCCCTCTCCTGGGGATTGTCAGTCTGTACCCCACTTCCACGTCTCTGGGACTACCATTCCTCAGACTGTTGTGTTCATTACATTCCACCAATAAGTGAGATCACATGACTGACTTTTTACACAAAACCTGATAGAAGAAGATTGAAAACGGCTGAAGGAAGGGCAAGTACCCCAGCCCCTCTCCACTGTCCTGCCCTTTCACGGCTGGAATTACTCTTCGCCCGAGATTTTGAACGCCTGGACAGGGCCCACCTGGTGGACGGTGGCCGACCCCTCCTGGACCCCTGACCTCGCCTGTCCTGGCGCCTGGGGCTGATTCCTCATCCTCCTTCTCTGGGCTCCTGGTGTACACACCTCCCACTTGTCCCGCTCACGACGGACTTTGGCTTCAACTTTTGGGAGTCGCTGATGTCCACCACTCAGACCTGCAGCACGACTTCATCCTGACCCTTTCCCAGTCTGTCCTGTCCCAGATTTGTACTTGCCTTGGAGTGACAGAAGATGGGGAGGGTATATTTGGGTGGGGCAGTGGCTTGGCCCTGATCTCTAGGAGTCAGCCGTAGAGGGAGCTGGAGGGATCGCGGGGGTGCAGGACTGCAGGGCACAGGCAGCCCTGAGCTGGCACAGTGACACCTAGCCTCAGGTGTGAGCAGCCCACGCATGTCATAGGGGGTGGTTCAGGTCCCATCTGCACCCAGCAAAACCGTCACACTGTAGTTCAAGTACCATGAACAGGCTAAGGATACCACCTTCCCAGCAGCCCATCCCCCACCAAAAAAAATCCAAGACTGCCTTCATGGACCAACATAGTAACTATTTAATTAAAACAACTGTTTACAATGGCGGAATCTAAAAACAGAGATACCAATAAATAAATGAACATAAAAATCTTTTAAAGACCATAAATACATGATTATCATTTATAAAATCAGTCATACCTCAAGCATCTGACACTTTATGGCAAACCATTTTACATTTTATCATTTGGAAGAAATGAAGATTCCTCCAAATAAAATACTTTTCCACCTCCCTGAGCCATGCTTTGAAAGTTCCCCCTCCTCCAGCGGCCATCTGTCGGGCTATGACGTTTCCTTTAGCTCCGCCCACGGACATACTGCGATCCCGTCACTCAGCCCTTCTCCTTCGTCGGCCGAGGACTTGTAAACCAGATCGCCGTGCTGGTTAGAATCGTTTGTAAATTAAGAAAACTGAACTTTAATGAATGCCCGTGCGGTGCCAACCGATGGGTAAAATGCACTGGCTTGGCCTTCGTTCTTGTTTTCCCCGGGGTTCTGGATTGGTCGGGATGCTATAAAGGTGAGGTGTCACTGGTTCAAACATCAGACACACCAGCCATCCACTGATTAACTCTGTAAGGTAGCATGGATGTGCTGTTCTTCTCTGAAGCAGGTACACGGAGGGTTTCTGGACAGATTTGAACTGGATCTAACAGTCCATAGGTCAAGCAAACAGACTGACACCGTCTCATACAGAAAGCCCTTTGAGAACTCAGTTTTTTCTGGTTCTCTCCAACCCCAAATCCAGTCATCTGGAGATATTGTCAGAAGACCACCCAGTGACCTCAGATGTCAGAGCCAGCCCATCCCGCTTGGACCCTGCCAATTCTGTTACGTTCTATGTCCTTGAAAGCTCAACATATCCCCACCCCAGACCCAAACAGCTGAAACTTGGCCTGTGCCTCCACCAATTTACAGACGCTGGTACAGTTTGTCTAAGGACATTGCATTTCCTCTTCAGATCTTGAAACCTAGACTATTACCCCAAATGTGATGACACGTGGCACATCTAAAGTCGTTTAGGTTGGACAGCCACGGAGGCAGCATTTTATGAGGTTAAGACGCCAACTCTGGAGTCATATTGCTTCGGCCACGTCATGTGACAAGGTTGTAGCCATAGGGAACAAGAACTGGTCTTTACAAGTCCAAGGCAACCTTTGCTACCTCTCCTCCCTTTCCGGACCTCCACAGGGGAGATCTTCAGAAGAGAAGTCTTCCCAGCCGGAGACATGATCCAGAAGAACAGGAGGTGAGTTGAGCACTGGTTCTATCTCAGCCAACAGTTACCATGGGCCATGTGGAGAGTCCTCCGTGAGAGCAGACGACGCTCCAGCCTTCTCAACAGTACAGGGTCATCATCAGCCACTGGACACAATGGGGAAGCATATTATGGTCAATTCAGCCCAGCCTCTGACATGGCAGGAAAGATGCTTCTTTCTCAGTCACTGGGTCACAGAGTTTGACAGAGGACTTGGGCTTCCTCCCCCCCACTCATGGGAAGTCATGGAGACAGGACATTAAGAGATAGGTTAGCCAGAGAGACCATGCCATTTGGTAATAAGTAGAAATCAACCTGAAATATAATCAACCTTGACTTCTCATGGTGCCTGTGAATGATGATAGCCAAGATACAGGCTGATTCTGTACTCAATTCTCAATTTCTTTTTCTCCGTGAATTTAATTTGGCATGCTCGTGACAGCTGTGCGTGCAGGTGTATGGGCCGTCGGTAGCAGAAATCCATTAGAGCACATTCTACATGTTTATATTTATATACCCATTTGTCTGACAGCTTTATGTAGGTGTGATGATCGGTCCCTCTAATTCACATAAAGGGGACTTCTGGAGAAACAACTCCCCAGGCTAATTGCATCCAAATGCTAATGCTGATGATAGTGATGATGAAGATGATAATGGTGAAGTAAATTACCAATGGTGTCAAAGAAAACCCCAGACTGAAATTCCAACAAGTTGGCTGCCACTCCCTCTAGCTGCCCTGGATGGCCCTGAGGACCTCCCGCTGGTGAAACCAGAACCGGTCTGAGCTTGAGAGGGTCTTAGGGAGCAGGTGCCCAGCCCGCTCATCACTCACACAGCCCGGAGATGGAACATGGTTTCCTAGTTACAAGAGCGCTGTGGGCTCAGCCAGGTCTCGGTCCAGTGTTCCTTCTATCGCAGCGCTCAGGGTGTGGGCTGGCCTGCTGTCCAGCTCAGAGCCTCACTATGGAAGGACTGCTTGGGGTCAGGAAGTGACCTTAGGTGGGGAAGGGCTCAGAAGGTCTAACCATTGCCCCTCCAGCTGAATCCCACCTTCACACTTCAATATGGGACTGACTGAAGGGAGACAATGCTGAGGGTCCCTCATACCTTGGAAAGATCATCCATAAACTGGACATTTGAGGTCCAAGAAGAAACCCCAGCTTTCAGTAACCCCTTCTAAGCAGCCCAGACAGAGGGTGTGTTTCAGAAAGAAAGAGCAGACTCCAGACTCCAATGGCTTTACAGCAAACACCCCCGAGCACCACACCCGGCACCTAGCTGGTGCTCAATAAACCCACGCAGTTTGAATGGTCAAGGAGGGCACTCGGCGTCAGGCACCGACGTGTCTGCTCCTCAGCCTATCACCTCATTCACTCAACAAACATCTGTCAAGCACCTACTACGTGCAAAGCACCGTGAGGGCACAGAGGCTAGGTTAGAATCCCCTTCCATATGGGGGAGGCTACGCCAGGTTTGTTTCTGGCTTGTATGTCCTGTCTTTTCAGACTCACGCTGAGCCAGTTTCCTTACTCTCTATGCTCTAGCCAGGCTTGTACTTGCTGTTCCGTCTGGCCCAAGTCTTTCCTCCTCTCCACTCTGGCTGCCTGGCTCTTTCTTATCTTTGGGGTTTCACTTTTGATGCCACTTCTGCCTGAAAGGCCTCTGTGGAACATGCTACCTACACCAGCTCTCCGACGACTGTCTGCTCAAGCTCACTGCTGGCCCAGGTGGTCGCCCTCTCAGCATCCACGCCCTCTGCAAGTGGCTTTGAAGTTCCTCCCGTGACAGAGGAGAAGGCTAGTTGCCCAGATGTTGGAAGTGGGCTGGGCCACGTCACTTGCTCGGACAACAGAATGAGTGGCAAGGCACCTTGTCCCCGGACGTGCAGACCTTGCGTATTCCAGCTCACTCCCCTTTGCTTCTGCCGTTGTCCTGAGAAGAGCAAGCCTGGCCGGCGCTTCCTCGCGGAACGTGCCAGAAAGCCCAGCTCAGCCACAATCACTAGCCAGCCAGCCAAGTCCCACTGACTCCCAGCATGCGACGGGGGTTAAGTGCTGTCCTCACCACTGATGCTGTGTGGATTTGTCACATGGCATTAGTGGGGTCATAGTCATTGGAGACACTGAGTCAGTCTCCTATTCCCTTCATATGTGCATGGCACAGAGTAGGTGCTCGGTAAATATCTGGTGAATGAATGAATGAATGAATGAATGAATGAATGAATGAATGAATATGTGACGTAAATCCAGTGCCACATCCTGAACTCAGTAGAATAAAGGGCCCTCCCAAACCCTTCTCCTTCTCAGGAGCCTGGACCTGCCGCGGCCCCACCTTAGATGATGGGATTCAACCCATGGAGAAAATCTCACCTCTGACTTCTGGAGGTATATCCCTTTGCCATCTTGGGTTAAGTTTTGGAAAATACCTGTGAAAATGCAGAAGGGAGAAACACCCCTAATATGTTTGAAAATATCGTGAACTAGCTCCTCCCATATGGCCCCTCACCTGGGAACCCAACTGTGGAACCACATGTGGTCACACGTATTATAAGCGAGCTGCCTCACACCTTTGCCCCTGGGAAAGCAGGGCGCAGATGAGTGTGGGGGTGCGGCCAGGCTGCGGGCACGCCGCCTACGTCCCCCCGAGCTCCCTGCCTGTTGTTTGCCCCCACTGGCAGCTCCTCTCCGCCTGCGTGGACTGGGGACAGGTGGGCAATCCAGCAGAGGAAGCCCTGCCCTCCCTCTCCCCCGCTCACTCTCCATCTCCTCGGCCCGCAGCATCAGGAGGACGAAGCTGACGAAGTCCATCTGCAGGCTGGGGTTGCCATAGCGGGTAAGCATCAGCAGGCAGATGTCACGGCTGAGCGCGATTCCTGCAGTGACACAGACTCCTGCCGTCGGTGCCGGGACCTCATACCCAGCTCCCCTCCCATTTGAGACCCCTTAAATTGTCCCCCCTCTCCTGGGACCTGAATCCTGAAAGCATGGGGATCTTCTTTTATGGGCTTCCTTGTGAACTGTTTAATTATTTAGTACATTCGTTTTATTTTATCTCTACTCCCCATTCCTGCCCCCTTGGGCAACCTGCACAAGGATCTTTCGATCAAGTGGGTTACTGGCCTTGAAGGCAGGACGCAGTCTGTTAGGGGTCAAGAGCATCTGCTCTGGAGCCTGGTGGTCTTAAATTTAACCCCCAGGCAAGTGACCCAGTTTCCCTGAGCCCCCATTTCTCCCTCTGTAAAGTGGGGTTAGAACAGGGCATTGTTGAAGATTAAATGAGAGTGTGGATGTGCCAGCCTTCAATCACGGTTAGCAGAGATTAGAGCGATAATGACCAATGTTTCTGTTATTTGTAGATCCCCGTGTTTGGGTCTCTGAACTCAGGGAGTGACTTTGTGCATTAGAATTATTCCAGGATGTCATCAGCCCCACCTCCGCCCGCCGTGCCCACCTGCGTCCTTCATGGCAGCCTGCAGCTGGGCACAGTTCAGGCATCCTGACCCAGCTCTGTCTTGCTTGTGGAAAACTTCCTACGAAGAACCAAATGTTAAAGAAGCCAGGCTTCCCAGGTCCCACCCGAGAGCCCCCTGTGGCCCGGTGTCCGCGCGGCAGAGCGCCGCTGGAGGGCGCGGGCTCCATCGGCAGGGCCCGCTGCCGGGCGAGGACAGGGCAGAGGGTCCCTGCCAGGGTCTGACCTCCCTCCCGTTTCTTCTGAGGGGTTCTGAGGAAGGGGCGGTCTTTTGGTCGCAGGGGATAGACAGTCTGGGTACATGAAAATACACTTCCTCTGAGCACATCATCCAACCTTTAAAGGGCTTCCAACTTTATGACTCGGGGGACAAGGGGGAGAGCTGTGAGCAATGACTGGAAAAGCAGAAAAGAGCCAGGTTATGAAGGACTTTCCATCACGCTAGAGTGCGGGCTGCCTCTGGGGGCCATGGGGGTCACAAAGCTTTTAGCCAGGAAGTGGGATATGGGCCCGTGTGAGCTTCTGAGTCAGGAGACAAGTGTAAAGTCTCTGAGGGTGTGAGGAGGGCTCACTGGAGGGACAGCAGACCGGGTAAGTAGTTGCATGTAAAGGGCTGACAGGGAGAGAAGTGTAAGGACCCTACATACTTTGCAGGATCAACACTTCTGGAGCATCCTGCCAGGAGGCATGGGCAAGACTGGTTCGTACCTGATAGAGCGTCAGCTGCTTCCACAGGTCCCTGAATTCCTGGATGCTCATGGTACCCGATGCATTCAGCTGATAGCAGGGTTAAGGTCAAAGTTAAGAGTTTCATCTATGCCTCTGGAAGCGGCGACTGGCCCTCCACACCCCCACGCGATTATGGACAGCCCCATTCAACGGCGGGTGTCTCTGGTGGCCTCCCTTGCTGGAGCGTCCAGCCCAGGGCTCCCTGGCCCTCACTGGGAAAGGACAGGATGAGCCGAAACAGCAGCACAGGCAGAAGGGCCGCTGATGGTGGCGACGGTGGCGATGATAACAGCTACCCTGCAGTGAAGCAGGATATTTCGACCTGGCCAATTTGATGTAGTTAAAACGAACCTATGGAAGGAGTCAGGTGGCTAAGGATTCTCCTTCTATTCAGGCATTTCAAGGAAGGTTGGAAGCGTAATGGTTGGCTTGTAGTTCGTGTCCAGATCCCTCGCATTAGAGAGACTGGGTCAACATACCACCCTTCAAGTGGGCCCAGCTCTGAGGGACTCGCTTTATCCGTGTTCCACATTTTCACCTGGGAGGTGAGATAGGTGTTAACTCACCCCTGTGGATGATGAGATGAGGGCTCAGAGAATCTGATCACGTCCAAGTTCATATCACTGGTGACAAGGCTGGGACCTGTTCCAAGGCCTGTACCTGGCCACCATCCCATGCTGCCCACCCCTCTGCCAAGTTTCTGCAAAGATTGTGTTTGTATTTGTAACCCCGCCCCCCGTACATGTGCACATGCACACACACACACACACACTATCCATCCGATGAGCTATCTCTGGTGTGGACAACCAAACTTCGATTCAAGTGTCTACTTGGATAGGCAGAAGGTTTGCTATAAAAATTGCAGGGCTGAGACCAGGAAAGCTGACCCATAAATGGGGACAGCCACTGCCTGGTCACCAAACAGGAAACAGGCCCTGCTGCTCCTGTTTAAGCTTCTTGTAACCTGGAGAATTGATACTCATCACCACCCTGCCGCCGCCTCATCGTCACGATCAGACTACTGTCATCAGTAGCTGATCTCGATCACTTCCTAGGACAGGTCTGTCCTAAGCACTTCACACAGCTCATCCCCTTGGCCTTCTCACACTGATCCTGCCAACGAGGCTGCAGATGAGGACCTGGGGACACGATGAGGCTGAGTGACTTGCCCTGATGACCCAACTGGGCACTGGGGTTAGGATTCAAACCCAGGCAGCCTGGCTTCAGGGCAAAGTTCTCAACCAGCAGCGTGCATCTTCCCACAGACCAGAAAAGATACGTCCAGTCGGGCCAGGATCCCCTGACAGGCATCGAGGCTGAAGAGGGGCCGTGTGCTCCCCAGACCTGCAGAGGAACAGAAAGAGTACATGGGGGGCTGGCCCAGGACAGCATGACATGGCCCTTTTCTGAATGGGACCGGACAGTGCTGCCTAGGCCAGCCACAGGTTCCAATAGCCATTATCTGTGTGGGAAGGGAAGAGACAAAGAGCCATAGAGAGAGGGGAGGCTTGGTGGTCTCTGCACCCAAGCTGCACAGTAAATCCCCGTGGAGAACCCCAGTCATCGCTGGCGTTGCTTGTGCAGTGAGTCAGAAGACCATGGCCCTATGAACCCAGCAAGGGCCAGGATCAGAGAGTCCCTGGTTCTACGGGAGAGATCTGAGGGATCAACTAGTTCAAGTCCCCGTGCACATTAGGGGATGCTTTCCTTAGACGTCTCAGTGTGGTCAGTCACTTGTGGGTGCTCACATAGAGGGCTAGCTCCATCCAGGAGAAACTTCCTATGTTAGTTTCAAAGGAAACTCCTGTAAAGTCTCTCACTAGTCCTTGCTCTGCCCATTGAAAAGCACAAAAGGGTGTTTGACCCCTCTCAACATTTCTCCACCTGTTCCCCAGCCGATATGGCTCCTAGCTCTCAGAGCCCTCTATTATAGTTACACTTCGCCAGAACCTCTCTAAAGCATGGTCTAGAGCCTGGAGCACACCCTTCGGATGCAACCTGGTTAAGCCCAGTATACGGGGTCCATCACTTGCAACATTTTCAGTCTGCATTTTTCAAATTATGTTCCAAAGAAGATTCTCCGCAGAGAAAGGCTTTTGAATTTAAACAAATTTGAAATAATTTTATCTATAGATGCTTCCCTCCTGTTCATCAGACACCTTAGTATATGATAGGTACTGAGGGGCCAACGCTGAAATTTCGTTTAACGCAGAATTTCCCAAGCACGATTGACCACAGAACCTAATCCCTTCTAGTTCACGGAATACTTACTAAAACCTCTTGATTCCTAGTGTTTCTTGGAACACAATTTCCAAAACACAAATCTAAATGCTGCCATTAAATACAGCCGGAATCTGAACTCGTTTATTTAATAGCAGCAATTTAAAACTATTAGCTCCTGTTAAGCCTGAGGTCACCTAAAATAACCAGATATCTTTCACATCAATTGCCACAAAAATGAGGTCTCTCCTGTTAGAAACTTGTACAACCAATTTTTTAAAAATAACAAAACGGTAGTTTTGAATGATCACCCCGACTCCGTCGCATCTTTTCTCGGTCTGGGCACAGCTCGCAGCGAACGTCCTGAATTTCAGTTCTGCTGTCGAGGATCGTGGTTCCTCCAACACTGCGCCACCCGCACATCTGGCCAGCCTCCCTTCCACATCTGCTTCGGAACCACGGACACAAGATGAGGAAGTGACGACGTGCGGGGCAAGGGAAGAATCCAAGGGCTTTCTGAACATCTAGACACTCGGCTGTCACAGAATTACCCCTCTGGTTTTATCTTCATACCTCCTTTGGGACTGCCGCTAAGACTTGTGGATACAGCTCCTATTGCTGCTTCACAACCCACACTTCATCATGTATCCCGGGAGACTGTCCCAAATACTTCACCAAAATCCACAGTGGTCCCCTGACCTAGCGAACCAGAACCCTCTCAGAGGACTGCCCAGAATCAATTTGTCCACACATTCCCTGGAAAACCTATTTGCAAGCCCTGTGATCAGGGCAGTTAAAACTATTCAAATATGCACTCTTCAGGTAGTTTCCCAGAAATGTCTTTCCAAGTGGGGCAGAGGGGAGGATTCTTCTCTTCTGTCATTTCTAGCCTCTCTCCTTCTGGCTCTTTTATTCAAATGAGGCTTTGAGAAACCATCTGGAAATGCATTTCAAGCCCCGAGTTATACAATACCCTGGACTGTAACTTGTTTGGGTTTGAAGTCTTGTTTTCATATCATGAAGAAGCAATCACATATGTTGAGTAGAAAATACCCTTTAATATTTTTTTTTTGGCTTAGTTTTTTCATTTTGAAGTTTTTTTCTTCCCTGGAGAAATCATGTTCTTCTTGCTCAAAATATACTTAGAAAATATCTTTATGTGGACTTTAAACTTTCCTAATGATGTATCCCAGGCTCCTTCCGAAGGCCTCCTCACCACCCATGAGTAGCCCTCCTAGGTGATACACTCCCTCCCTCCAGATGTTTGTAGGTTTGTAGGTTGATCAATTTAAATATGAGTTCATCAGAGTGCTCCATAGTGGGCTAATCAACATTTAACACTTATTTACCCTGTTGAGGAAGTGAGTACAGTCTTTCCACATGGGATTTATATGCCAAGAAACAAGTACTCCGCTATTCTTCTCAAACTAGGAAAGTAGCAGAAACCTTCATTTTTACTACCATGTCTCCAACTAAGCAAAACAAACAAACAATTTTCCAAGCTACATACATTTTTTTACTGCTGTCAGACCACATGACCCACCCCGGCGTACGACATGGCTGCTCAGGGCACCAGCACACAGTAGGTTCACACGTCCCACCAGGGGAAATAGAAACAGACCTAGAGTTCAGAACAGTTGCGTCCCTGATCCTGCCGATGAGTGACTCTGAAATACTCACCTGACCAGGTCAGGTGGTTCAGGATCCTCTGCAGTTGAACTGCGTTTATTTCTGGACACTGGAGTGAAAGCAGAGGGACAGGAGCAAATCATCACCATGAAACGCTTGTTAGGTGCAGAGGGCACAGCTAACGGGGGCTGGGATATCCTCGCCAACACCCGCTCCGCATGGCACAGATGCCATTTCTGGGCAGAATAAGTGATGCCACTATGTTGCACCTACGGAATGTGACGAGTCATGCCATTAAATCTGGACCTTCATAAGAACTTTACAATAGTTTTAAACTAGGCTGCACCCCAGCAGAGCAGGACTCTTAAGAAATAGACGGGAAGAAAACAGTGGCTTTCAAACTGGGTTCTATAGAGAAGCTTCATAAGTTGAGCAGACGAGTTGGTTTAAATGACACTCCTAATAAAATAGCCTCAGCCAAGATTCCATATTTTAATTGTAGACTCATCAGAAGCAACTCTTTACATTAACATTTAACTTTAAAATATGTCAACAAAATACAAAGATCACAAATTTAAACATAAAACAGATACATATTCATCATATACAATTATTTTTTAAATATGTGTTTTATTGATTTGAGAAAGCGAGGAAGGGAGAGGGGGAGAGAGAGAAACATAGAGGGTCACTGCCGCCTGCTCGCCCCCTGCTGGGATCGAGCAGGCAACTGGGCACGTGCCCTGGTTCGAAATTGCCGGAATCCAACCAGCGACCTCTCGGTGCATGGAATGATGCTCAACCAACTGAGCCTCACCAGGGCAATAATATACAATTTTTATCCCTTTCGTATATATTGGGATTCTCTATGAGATTTCATTACATAAAAGGACGGTAGCAGAAAATGTTTGGAAACCCCTGGTGCGGAGAAAACATTTATATACAACACATGTAAAATTCTAACATATCGTCTTTGGCTACATTGAGCAAAGCACCAGGGGTGAATAGGAGAACAGATGGGGGGCGTGGGGGGAGGCAAGATGTTAATTAAGTCCAGAGTGTTACTAACATGCTCTTTCATTTTGAATGAAATCGCTCAGATATCAGAGCCCAGATTTCCAGTGTATCTCTTGCCCTATTTCCTGCAAGGTAGGGACTAAGTAGCCTCTAGAACCCTACACCCACCCTGCTGGCCTCCTGCTCTGGACCAGCCCAGGGAAAGACCTCAAGGGTCCAGGTGTGCGGCCCTGGGCCCTCTGCCTTCCCATTGTCCTCTTACCCGCCCCACCCCGTCTCGAGGAAACCACCCAAAGGTCATTCTCCCTGGGTTCCCTTAATGGTCCTCCCCAGACCCCTGGCTTGTCATTGTCACTCCCAGTGCTGATTTCTGACTCTGCTGCATTCTGTTTTCTCCTAACTAATCAATAAAGCTTCCAAGAACAGAGATGCATTTCACAGGGGCCTTCTGGAGACAATAGCTCCACTCGTTTGTTTAAAAACTTGAGGGCCTGAATAGAAAGTGGCAGTCTGGGAACTAGCGACCTCAAATTACAGTTTATACACAGGGTCAGGCCGCTGCAAACAGTTGGTGCAGTTACATGCTCCCCTTTGTCCCTGCTCCGCCCACTTCTGGCTACCACACCTCTTCCACTTACCTGTTCAAAGAGTTTGGCGAAGACTTCGTCATGCCCTTCAGTTTGGTCTTCTATCTCCTAGAGGAACAGACACATAGAGACCGTTATGCACCCGGATACGTGAACTCTCCGAGGCACACTTATGTCTCGTGGCTTCCAGGTTTCCAAAATCCAGAAGTTTGACCTCGAGCTGTCTTAAATGCTCTGCCACCGCCTTCACACAGCCCCCATTCCTCCAGTTCTCGCTGCCTCTGGGGAGTGGCAGACAGTGAACTGGGCGACAGAAACACTGGCAGAGAGAAGCACGAGAAGGTAAAGGCACCGCTCATGCACCTGGGGCTCTGGGCCCTCAATGGACCTGGCCAGAAGGGCAGTTCTCCCGGTGCGAAAACAGCAGAACCTGGGTACTCTTTGGGCACAATAAACAATGTAGCACACAGCAAGTTCTGTACAATCTGAGGACCTTCTCCCCGCCCCCTGAGCATGAGGGAGACAGCCACCGTCCTGGCGTTGTGAAGTCTCAGCCGTGTGGAATCCCACATCACTACTCACCTTAGAGAATACGATTCCGGAATTGCTGCCAATCTCACTACGGGAGAAACAAAAGAGTTACATCTTGGGGATCGTCTTGGGATCATGCTGGCCAGTCTTCTCCCTCCCCTGGGGAGCTCTTCCAAGTCCCTGAGCTGATGCACCTGGCCAGCTCTCACGCCTCACCTCCCCTCTCTCTTGGAAGTGGAGGTCCAGCCACGTGGCACGCACACTGCTTATAACGCCCACATGCCCAGTGCTGTTTCTCACTGTATGCCTTTGCTCATGCCAAGCCCTGTGCCCACCCTCATCGGACTATTCCTACTCATATTTTAAGATGCTTGAGATCAAGTCCAACTATCAATAGCCAAAACATGAAGAAAGGAGGAAAAAAAACTGGATTCTAAGCATTGAAGGGTTGTCATGTCAAAAAAAAAAAAAAAATCACAGGCCAAATAATAAGCTTATCTGAGATGTATATATATTGATTCACCTGCACATACCAGTGGTGTCTGAGCCTGCTGGCTGATGACAGCCTCCACTCATCTGAACCACCCTGTGCATCCCTTAGGAACCACCACCTCCCAGAAACCACCCTGCTTTCCCCAGGACCACGGAAAGTTAGCCGAGGCCCCTTCTTGCTGCTGTTCTAACATCCTGCAGATAGGCAGTTCCATTGGCTACAGTGTAACAAAAACAACTTCATATGAACCATCCTTTCCAAACTTTGAGCTTCTGGAGGGCAAGGCGGTGCTGCACCTGTTCTGTCTTTTCCCCTGTAATGGCTCGCGGAGTGTTCGTGTGTTCGGTGCAAGAGGGGAAGGAAGAAGGGAAGGATGCTCTCCATGCCCAGAGCTGTCCTGCTGTCCTGTTCTCCCGATCCCCGCTCTGTACTGACCGCAGAGACCCCGCCTGCTGCCTCTGCCACCTGGTGCTCCTTATCATCCCTGGCCCGCGGGGACCCTGACCTCCCGCACAGGCCTGTGCCCTTACTAGAAGATGTGCTTCCTGGAGAAGACTCTGAGGACAAACTCGGACTCCTGGCAGGCCACCGACGTGCAGGGCACAATGAGGTACGTCCCCGGCTGCAGCCACAGCTCCTGACTCACTTCTTTTTCTGGGAGAAATGCCTCAGGAAAACTCAGGGGATTATTTTGCAAGAAGAACTCACGGGGCAGTTTCTCCCGGTCATCGAAGAACTGTAGGTGGAAAACAGAAGGGTACCAGTTGAGGTGATTACCCCGGGCTGGTGGCCAGGCCTGGGGCCCTTGGCCAGGAGCCAGGAGTAAAGTGACCTCTTATTTGCTCAATCCAACCTGCCCCAGTGGAAGATGGGATAAGAGTGAGGAGCTGAGACTAAAGCAGAATATATCAGGAGTAGGCACCTATGCTGGGACCCTATGCGGGGCTGAATGGACACTTATCAGTAGATTTGCCATTACATTGAAAACAACATTGTATACAAAATGTGACGAATGTCACTGTTTCTGCACTTTCCAAGATCAGACATTTGCCCAAAGTCAGCCAGCTGGTAAGAGTTCGGTCCAGGGCTGGAATTCAGGACAACTGAGCTCCAATGCCCATGTTCTTCACACTTCCTGAAAATGCATTCACGCATGTGATACAATTTCAAGGTTGATTATGACATGATTATGGGTACAGATACAGGTGGACCACCAACTACCTCCCCACCAACATCATAACAGCCACATACAGATAAACTGGACATTCCACGTCATCTCAGCGAAAACAGCTCATAAAGGGGAAAGAGGACTGGACAGGAGCTCAGGAGACCTGAGTCGGGCTCTAGTTCTTATATTGTCTGGGTGTGTATTTTGTTTTATCTTATATTCATATTCTCTTTCTCTCTCCTCTCTCCCCACACTTTCCCTCTCCCTCCCTCTCTCCATCCATCCCTCCTTTATTTCTCCATTTTTCTCTCTTGCTCCCTCGTCTTCTCAGGGCTGTGGGGGAACAGGAGGTCCATATGGAGGATCTCTCCTCCAGTGTATATACAGCTGTTAGCAGACCCTCCCCATCCACACAAAGCCGTATTTCACAGACTCCACCCAGGGTTCGGGAAATAAAATGTATCTTCTGATGACATACACTTTGTTTTATCAGACAATGAGAAGTAGGGAATCATCCTGTTGCCATCTTTGCCTTGGCTACTAGGAATCTCAGAACTGAATTTTATAATCAGCCGTACTAGCTGTCCTATGTTTAGTTTTTCTGATAGAATCAACTGCTTTTTTTATCCCTCATTTATTTGTTATTTATTTCTTGCCTTTACATTTTTTAACTGGCTTATCATTTTGTTCTGTTTACAATTTTATTGTAGGTTGACCCAATTCTGTTTAGAAATAGTCCTGATATAAATAATTTTTTCTTATTAAATTAACAGGCAACTTTGGAATCACTTGGTGTTCCCACAGGAGGAAAAAACCAAGACTGACCCAAGATAGCCAATGCAAAATGGTTTCTTTATAAAAAAATCCCTTTACATTGTTTAGTCCAATCTGAGCAAATTAAGTTTTTCACTCCTATGTTCTTTGGGTACCAAAATAATAGCTGACACCCTGCAGAGGCTGGGATACCTCATGCCTTCTAACCGTCCCTCTAGGCTGTCACTGTGCCTGAAATACAGGGTTGTCCTCTGCCTGTGTTTCTGTCCCATTTTCCAATCCTTGTCCCTTGTCCCCAAGGAGGTGGGCTGCATGGTCTCCTTGTGTCTCATAAGTTATAGATCAATTTTATTATGGGTTTCACAACTCAGGCAAGGTTGTAATTTATCAGCCTTCCTATGCTGTGACAGTCTTCAATATTAGCCGTAGGTATTTATGAGGGGATTTAATAAATTCTAAGATTTATTGGTTCTATACCAGGCTCAGAGATCACCCTGCAGAGGGAAAAGGGTTTCTTGGGGTCCTGGGAGGAGAAAGAACGGCAGAAGCTCTGTGCTTCCACACACAAGCAATTGACATTCTTGTCGGACGTGCTCAGAGCCCCTGTTGAAGGCTGCCGAACCTCCACAGTGGCTTTGCCAAATGTGACATCGCTCCAAACCGGGAACTCACCTTGCTCATCTGAAAAACAGACAAAAAAGAGACCTCATAGTCAGTGAATCTAGCTCGTTCACACACTCAAACTCTAATGGAGGCTAATACACAAGAAGACTCTACCCAGAGCCCCTTCCCCTCCCACATGGCCTTCTGTTCCAGTCAATGACATTTTGATCCACCATCAGGAAATCTGGAAAAGGGCGATGGAAGGCAGCCTTGGCTTTTTTGGAAAAAGGAAACCAGTATTAATTGTAAAGTGTGTGATGGGTGCATTGAGAAGCCCTGTCACGTGATCGGTTATTCTGCTCTTTGCATAAATATCACTGTCCCTGTTTTACAGACAGAGAAACTGAGGCCCAGTGCAAGAAGATGACTGAGTCTAGATATTCCTAAGGAACAGAGCCAGGATTTGCACCCAGGCCTGTGGGTAGACAGACATGGATGGTGAAGAGGACAGGAAACAGGAAGAAAGGACAATAGCTGGGGACCCCACGCGAGGCCACGTGCCCCGGAATCCCACCTACCCTGAAGAGGTAGAAGCCGATGGCGAGGGGAGGCTTCCGGTTGCGGTGCCGGTGCCTGGGCTTCTGGAGCAGGGACACCAGCACGCTGCAGGGCTTCGGGAACATCTCGCCCTCCTGGGGCCTCCAGACGGACAGCAGGAACTGCGGGTTCTTCCAAAATGCGCCTCGGGCTGAAAGCAGCAAGGCGGGGCAGGTCCCGGGCTGCCCTGGCGCGTCGCTCCCCACACACCAAGAGGTGCACAGACCCAGGGCTCCTGCCCCAGGGCTCCTACCCAGCAGTTCATCTGGACAGAGTTGGGGGTCTGTTCAGCTTCAGCTCTAAGCACCCTCCCATCTCACCTCTACCACCCAGACACACAGAGACATTCTGGTGCCATAGCCCCTTGGCCCAGCACAGGTCTGGGCACAGACTTCATGCCCCATAACTATTTGCTGCCTGAGTAAGTGACTATCTGAGGAGAACGTGGTCCCAAGGGACTGTGCATTTTAAGGGAACCAAGCCTTAGCTTAAGGGCAACGTAAGCTTTGGGGGAACTCTCTGATTGGAGGGGGACACCAGCATTCAGGCCAACGCGACCTACTGAGGTCACACCCTGCAGGTCTTTCCTTCCAAAGGGATCACTCACGCCCTCTGTTGTGGAGAAAGGGACACAGTCACCACAGTCACTGGGAATTTAGATGTGTCCATCTCTCATAATTGATGACCTGAGAATACTTAATCCCTACCAAACTCTAGATAAGGAGGGCCTGATATACATGATATAGTTACTATTTTAGTCCTGCCCATTAAAGGGTGGTCACTTCAACCTATCAATCACCTTGTCCTGAAACCAAAACAAGATGTAACGATGCTTTTACCACGCGTGTGTGCCTGAGGCCTCCAAGTGCCAATTAGAAGAAGGCGCCTGTGGAAAGACACAGCCCCAAAGGCGGGCAGCTGGACTGAGATTTCTATGCCTTTGTGCAAATTAGGACCAAAGGTGCCCCATCTTCCCAATGGACACAGCCCAGGGCCGAGCCGTTAGCTTGGCCAGCAGCAGCCCTCACCCTCAGCCAGATGCCCTGTGCAGGGCGCAAGCTGCCCGGCCGCCCACAGTGGCTCCGCCGCAGCCCTACCCTGGCCTGGACAGGCTGCCACGGCAAACCCAGAGCCCAGCTCCTGCGCACGTGCTCACCTCGGTGCAACGTCATGGGGCCGCCAGCCGTGCTGCCCTTCTCCCATCGCCCCTCCAGCATGGTGTACGACCACTTCTGGCCCACCTCGTGTCTCAGCAGGCCCGGGGTCAGCTTACAGATGACCAGGAGCTTGAAATGTGCTATAAAGTCCTTAAGTGACATCCTGGAGAGAAAAAGGGAACAGTACGAAGATAAACGAGATGATGTCTAGTTATCAGGACCAAAAGGGAAGCTGGAACAACACAGTGGGGACCCCAGCCCTCTCCCAGACCCAGGCCCTCGTCCTCCAGGCCCCCATCCTCCACGCCCGCGTGCAGAGCTGGGCAGGCCTTGGCCATGAGAGGGGGCTGGCTAGACCAGCGTACGGGTCCATCCCAGGTGGGTGGAGCCCCTGAGAAAACCCTTCCTGTGGCTGGAGGCAGACTCCTGTGCCTGGGCGGAGGGTCTCTGTTTTGCTGGTTACACAGAGAAAGCAGAATCGAGGCATTTATAACCAGTCCATTGGTTTATAGATGCTCATCAAGCAGTTTTCAATCACTGATAAAAACCTTTGCTCCTACTTGCTAATCTTGCCAACGAGACAGGCTACATGAGCTTTCTGATGCTCAGTTTACTCATCTGTGATGTGGAAACAATGCATTTGCAGGGATCTTGAGTTCAGTGACTACTTCCAGAGAGAGAGGGCCACAGCCATCTGCAAAGGCTGGGTGAGGGAGAAGAGGGGTCGTGGGAACAGGGTGGGAGTCATCGTAAAGGTGAAAAGCAAAAGGAAAGGGGAACAGATGGGCTTCATGTCAGACCCCCAGAAGCAGCAGCAGTTCAGGGCATCTGGGTGACCTTTCATAATAAGAGGTGAGTGGCTTCGGAGTCAGTGGGAGTAGAGCTATTTGGCTCTGGAGGGCACAGGTGACTGGCTTATGGTTTGGCAAGACTTTGCAGTCCCTGCTTTTCCCATCTCCTTTTCAGGACAGGAAAGGCACAACCTTGGGATGGAGTAACCCGAGTGACACAGAGCAGAGCGGAAGTCGGGGAGGACGTGGCCTCCCCCACACCCTGCTCTGAGCAACTGCTGAGCTCCAGGCCAGTGGTCACTGCTCTTGGCACAGAGGCTGTGACTGTTTGTCTGCAGGGCTGTTTGCCCTGCTGGACTGTGAGCCCCTCCAGGGTCTTCCTGATCTCTGTACAGGAGATACGTGGTGCCCACGAGGCACCCCGTAAATGTTGCTAGGTGGATGACCAAATGTCAGCCAGGGCACTTGTCCTGAGTCCTCGAGTCAATTACCAAAATTCTCCATCGTTGTTTTTTCTCAGCAGCATCATCTTCTCCTTGGGGCTCAACAGCTCCCACGTTCTTGAGCTGAAAACAGAAAAGAGATGTTTCCATGGGGAATGAAAGGATTGTGGAGGACAGGTGAGAAATTCTCCAGTAAGTGCTCCATAGGGCTGTTACTATTCTCATCTTCATGCTGCCTGTGCAGACGACTAAATCTCACATCCTGTATTATAAAAGCAACATGTAACATCAATTCATTGTTCACTGTGAGCCAGTTCTGGGCCAGGCTCTTGACATACTTTATCTCAGTCAAGGCTAACAACTTTACAAGATAAGGATTTTTATTGCCATTTTAGAGATTAGGAAACTGAGGTTAAAAGAGACTAAGTTGCTTGCTTGAAGTCACAAAGCTGTTAAATGTCAGAGCTAGCATTTGAACCTACATTGGAGTTACTTGCTTTCAAAGTCCTTCGCCTGGGACTTCTACTTCTGGCCATGACAGTAAGACTTTCCTGTATCACTTTCACACCATAAACAACTAAAACTGAGATAACAAATAAGAAACAACTGTTTTCATCCATTAGATAGCAGGCAGCACAGGGCGGTGACCCCAAGAGGAAGGGAACAAACGAGGTGAGTCCTAACATCGTCTACCTTCTGCCTCAAGCTACATCCCCGGGCAGTGATGCAGAGAAGGACCCGGGAGAGCCCAGCAGTGTTGCTGGGGGCCGGAGGCAGAGCCTGGTTCAGGGAGGCCAAGGCAGCTAGCATTTGCTAGGGAAGATGCCTGAGAGAAGGGGGCTACATAAAGAGGGAGCTCCAGAGAACTTCACAGGGGTTCCCTTGAGTCAGGTTGAAATCAAATCTGTGCATATATAAACACCACACACACACACACACACACACACACACACACACACACAAAAGACTGGACTATACACAGAAGAATTTCCAGAGCTGACACAAGGCTGGGAGTCATCTGAAGTCACACCAGACAGAATTGAAAGACCTTGTTGACTATATGGGGGTCTCTAGCAGAGATCCCAGAGGGTCAACATCTTAATAGTATGGTCAAATTATCCCTGAAATAAAGGTTTCTGTAGCTCTGTCTTTAAAGTGCTTTAAAATTTTTTCAAAGTATCAAAAATTATCCCTAAAAAAAAAAATTATCCCTAAGCAATTTAAGTACCTGCCAGAAAAAACCCAACATCCTTGAAAGGAATGCGACAAAACTCAGTACTCAGAAACTTAAATGTACAATGTCCAGCATCTAGTAAAAAATTACCAAGCATATAAAAAAGTAGAAAATGTGATCCATGACCAGGAATAAAAACAGTTAGGAGAAACAGACCTAGAAATGAGAGAGATGATGGAATTAGCAAATAAAGACATCACAACAGCATTATTAACACATTCCATATTGTCAAGGTTATAAGGGAACTATGGACAGATGAGGAGAGAAGTAGAAGCTATTCTCAAATGGAATCTCTAGAATTAGAAAATGTAATATCTAAAATAAAAATACACACTGGCCCTGGCCGGTGCTGCTTGGTGGTTAGAGTGTCAGCCATGCACCAAAGGGTGACAGGTTCAATTCCTGATCAAGGGCACATGCCTGGGTTGCAGGTTCAATATCCTGGCCCCTGTCAGGTCATGTGCAGGAGGCAACCAATCAATGTGTCTCTCACATATCTCTCTCTTCCCTCCCCCGCTTCCACTCTCTAAAAATCAACGAGGGAAAAAAAAATACCCTCAGGTAAGGATTAAAAAAAAAAGAAAGAAAATATACACTGGATGAGATTAACATCAGTTTCGACTCCATGGAATAAAAGCCCATCAATGTATTTAATCCTCATCACACCTCTGGCTCAGAGAAATGAAAAGCTTGCCCAAGATCACACAACTAACCAAACAAATTTAATCCATCCCCTGTCTCTAGTAAGTACTTGTTCTATGAAACAAACTAAAACCAACATCACGATGCTATATCTTGATAACATTTTAAATGTGTATGTGTGTGTGTGTGTGTGTGTGTGTGTGTGTGATCTTTGGATGCCATTTTCCACGTAGACCCAGTTTCTCTGACTATTCTCTTTATTCGTGGATAACAAATCGAGTGCGGCACATCCTATGAGGAGTGGAATTCAACTTCTTTTTCTGAGCCTTTATTTCTTATTTTTAATTATCTTTATTGTTTTATTTCTTCGTCTATGAAAATGATGACGTGATGATGGCTATGTGGACGTGTTGCTGAGCTCCACAGAGCCAGGTATCAGGGACCTTCACAGCAAGAGGGCGGGGGACTCGACCCCTGGTCCCCTTCCCGCTGGCGCCCCACAGCCCGTCTGCAGCCCGTAACGCCCACACCCTTCAGGGTTGTCTTTAGGTAGAAACGACCTAAGGTCCCTAAACAGAAGCAGAATGTAGGGGCCAATTCGTACCTCTCTCTCACCAAGCCCAAGAGCACGCTGAGCCATGCCAGCAAAGGAACACAGGACTAGACAGCAAAGACCTTGGCTGAACTGCACTCTGAGACCTTAACTAATTCACTTAGTCTAAGCACCACGTCCTTCGTCAGTAAAATGGGAATCAAACTACCTACCTAACAAGAGCATTATCTGGAGGATCAAATGAGATAAAAATTCAAAGGACTTAGCACAGTGCTGGCAAGCTCTTAATAAACATTTGATTTTAATCACTATAAACATTATAGAAACGTGAGAGACTGGCCGTCACAGTCTGAACACGCTCCTGACCCAGCTGGGACCGAGGGAAGACCCCCTGGAATCTGAGCTGCAGCCTCCTTGCTGGCATGGCCCACCCCTGCGCCCCTCCCAGCCAGGCTCAGCTCACCTGTCACTCCAGTCTCCTTTCCACTCCACCTTCCCCCAGGGGTTCCGCAGCTTGACTAGATATTCGGGTGCGTGTTTGCAGGTCACCTGCACAAAATGAGGAGCAGTTTAGGTGGCTGGGCCAAGTGCCAACTACAAGAACTACAGACACCTGGGTGAGACTCATGCCCGCAGACGAGACTTTGAAACGGAAGATCCAAGGCCCCTGAGAGTTGGCGGAGGAGGAAATGGCTCTGTTCCCCGCTAGCTATGAGACGTAGGGCAAGTTGGTGACCTCTCCTTGACTACTTCCTGACCCGCAAAATGAAGCGGACCGTCACCCCTGCTATAAAGGATTGAATGGTGGCCCCCCACAAGATATGTCTACCTGGAACCTGTCAATGTGATCCTATTCGTAGAAAGGGCCTTTGCAGGTAATTAAGTTAAGAATCCTAATGTGAAATCATCCTGGATTCAGGTGGGTCCTAAATCCAGTGACAAGAGGGGGGAAGGGGAGAAGACACAGAGGAGAAGGCCATGTGAAGATGGAAGTCAAGCCCTGGCCGGTTTGGCTTAGCGTTTAGAGCGTCGGTCTGCGGTCTGGAGAGACCCGGGTTCTGTTCCCGCTGAGGGCACGTACCTCAGTTGCAGTTTGTCCCCGGCCCTGGTTGGGTCGTGCAGGTGGCAGCCACTCGATGTGTCTCTTTCACATCGATGTTTCTCTCGCTCTCTCCCCCTCCCACTCTATCTGAACAAAATATCGAAAAATGTCCTCAGGCGAGGATTAAAAGAAAAAGATGGAAGTCAAGACTGGAGCCTTGACACCAGACTCTGGCCTTCGGGGCTGTGAAAGGACAAGCTGCCGTCTGAAGCCACCCAAGTGGGGGTCCTTCGTTACGGCAGCCCCAGGGCGCACCGCCCTGCTCACGGGGCGTCGTGAGGGTGGAGTTAACCTTGGGAAAGCAGTTAGGACAGCGTTTAGCACGTGGGAAGTGCTGATTTTTGCCAAATATTATTAAACAGATATAAAGCTAAATATATAAACATACAACTATTATCAAAATGTAACTTTTGCTAAATAAAGATGAAAACAAGTGTAAAGTTCTTGGTACACACACAGGAATGGTAGGCGGATAGCTAGGAGGAAGAACTCTGATGTGAGTTGAGTTCTAGAAGTTTGAAACAGAACCAAAGGGAACTGGAGGCCTTTGGGAAGGGAGCTTTCTAGGGAATATCAGACGTTCCCTAAGGTTGAACCTCCTGATTTCTTACCTCCACACTTTGCATCTGGAATGCCCCTTCTCCTCACACAAACAAATCTACCATCTCTCAGGACCTCGCTGGAAAGCCCTTCTGATTCCCTCCAACCCACGCAGGGGAGTATCTTCTCTCTTACCTCCAAAGCCCTAAAGCTTTCCACCTATGCTTTCTTCCCTGTTTCTTTCTTCCTTATGTCCAGGGATGGTTTGTCCCCATACTTGACTGTAAGCTCTCTGCAGTCAGGTCCCTGTCTAGATCCTCTTTCCCTCAATGCTTAGTGGAGCTCAAACGGTGAATAGCAGTAGAAGGAAACTGGAGACTGTTGAAAGGAGCAAAGGAGAAAGAAGCGGGAACTCGGGAGGGACAGCCCAGCTAGGAGGCCATCACGGGCAGCCCAGGGCAAAGTGAAGCCCGCGGAGTGCGGTGAAGCCACAGCACGCATGGATGGCCAGACGGCTGGGTCTTCCCCCCGCAAAGAGAGGTCGGGATGGTGCAGTGATGGTAGCGAAGGCTAGACCCACCACTTCACCCCAGAAAATAGGTAAGAGGTACAGGGACCCCCACCGGCTTTGGCAGGCCCTGGAGGACCCACGAGAGAATTTACCCCAGACTAGACACAGATGGTAACATTCAGCAAGATGACCCCAGGCTGTGGCAAGAAGGCCTAGGAGAGAGGGGAGGCTGGAGGGAACAGAGGGGCACGGTTCCACCCACCTTCCTTATCCCTATGAGCGTGTAGGCATGGCCGTCCACCAGCCCGTTCTCCAGCACGCGCTCGTTCTACAGAGACAAGAGAGCTTCATCAGTCCTGCTGGGTACGGCTTATCCAGGGTCACAGGGACCTTTCCGCTGGAGCAAGGGGTTCTGAGGAGGGGGCTGGAGAGACCCACGCTGCCCTGCGCTACCTTACAGTTTTCATAGCTCTTCAGCACCCACAGTCTCTTCCAAGCACTCAAGTCAAGGTGTCACTCGGCGGTGATGGTAACTATTTTACAGAGGACGAACTCAGACTCAGAGCCACTACGCCATTGTGGAAAGTGACACAGTGGTCATTGGTGGAGGCACAGCGGGACCCAGGGCTCCCTACGCCAGCTCCACGTTCTTGGTTGTTATTCAATTAGACAGTAAGGACCAGCTGTGCTACGAAAATACCTTACATGTGGTCAGCACTTAACTGCCAGCCCCCTTCTGTTCACACTATCTGTCCTCTTGCCTGCCCTGAGCTGCTCGGGTTGGACATCGGGACTGTGGGTGCAGGGGTGGGTGGAAGTCTTGGGGCTCACACCAAGGTGAGAACAGCAACTGATGGGTCCTGCCAGCACCCAGCCCGGTCTCACCCCTAAGTGGGTCTGGCAGCCGATGAGGGTTCTGCCATAGATGGCTCCGGCTAGGATGTCCCAGAGGTTTCCAGGGGCTTCTGCCAGTTTGATGGTCACTGTCACCCCACCAGTGAAGTCCAGAAGGGCGTCAGACACCTCTCCATGCTGTAAGTCTTCATAGGAGCCACAGAGCCTGCCCAGGAGGGAGTACACATTGGAAGAGGAAGGAAGGGGCATTTATTCCGCAGCCTGGGATGGTCCAAATGAGCCTTGCTTGGCTATTCCCCGGGCGTGTGTCTGCTACCTCTTCCTTCCACCCCCGGGCAAAGGAGAAAATATATGCTTAGAGTTCTTATCCCTGTTAACAACTCCATCCGTTAGGAAGGGCAAATTCCCGAACTCTTGTTCAGATGGGGTGACCCTGACGTAACAATCTCTGCATATGCAGCTTGTCTGTTCCCTGAGTCATGTCTCAGCGTCTCACTTCATAAACCTTCCCTGCCTCCTCTTGCCCTCCCTCAACATTGATGAGAGAGACAGAGGGAGAGGAGAGGGGAGGGGAGGGGAGGGGAGGAAAGGGGGAAGGGGGGAGGGGAGGGGAGGAAGGGGGAGGGGAGGGGAGGAAGGGGGAGGGGAGGGAAGGGGAGGGGAGGAAGTGGGGAAGGGGAAGGGGAGGAAAGGGGGAAGGGGAGGGAAGGGAGGGGAGGGAAGGGGAGGGGAGGAAAGGAGGAAGGGGAGGGGAGGGGAGGGGAGGAAAGGGGGAAGGGGAGGGGGGAGGGGAGGGGAAGAAAGGGGGAAGGGGAGGGAAGGGGAGGGGAGGGGGGGGGAGGGGAGGAAAGGGGGAAGGGGGAGGGAGGACAGGGGAGAAGGGGGAGGGGAAGGGGGGGGAGGGGAGGAAAGGGGGAAGGGGCGGGGAGGAAAGGGGGAAGGGGGCGGGGAGGAAAGGGCGAAGGGGAGGGAAGGGGAGGGGAGGGGAGGGGAGGGGAGGAAAGGGGGAAAGGGCGGGGAGGAAGGGGGAGGGAAGGGGCGGGGAGGAAAGGGGGAAGGGGGAGGGAAGGGGAGGGGCGGGGAGGAAAGGGGGAAGGGGGAGGGAAGGGGAGGGGAGGGGAGGAAAGGGGGAAGGGGGAGGGAAGGGGGCGGGGAGGAAAGGGGGAAGGGGGAGGGAAGGGGAGGGGAGGGAGGAAAGGGGGAAGGGGCGGGGAGGAAGGGGGAAGGGGAGGGAAGGGAGGGGAAGGGGAGGAAAGGGGGAAGGGGGCGGGGAGGAAAGGGGGAAGGGGGAGGGGAGGAAAGGGGGAAGGGGGCGGGGAGGAAAGGGGGAAGGGGGAGGGAAGGGGAGGGGAGGGAAGGGGAGGGAAGGGGGAAGGGGAGGGGAGGGAAGGGGGAGGGGAGCGGAAGAGAGGGGAGGGGAGGGGAGCGGAGGGGAGGGGAGCGGAGGGGAGGAAAAACATTTCTCATTTTTGTCTTACTTGGCATAGGCCTTTTCCAGAAGAGCTCCCCAGAACAGGTTCTTGTAGGTGGAAGAGACGAAGATCAGCTGGCCAGCTTCAGTCACAGGCAGTCGGTCATCTATTACCACAGGAACCCACTTCCCAAAGTGCCAGAACTGGAAGGAGAGAGCGCCCAGGAGGCAAAGACATGACCCCTCCAAGAACCTTCTTTCCCATGTCCCCACCCCAGGCTGGAGCACCAGGAGGACACTCACCCGGAACTGGAAGATGCCAGCATACTTCTTGGTGAAACTCTGATTCAGTGGAACGACCTGGCTCAGGATGTCCTGGTGCAAAGTCAGAGCTTGCAAGGCAGCCAAGAACCAGCAGTCACCTAAGCCAGAGAGCACACAGTATCTGCATGGATGTGTTGTACATGCATGCATGTTCCCCAGGTGTCTGCCTGGATGTACTGCACATGCATGCATGTTCCCCAGGTGCCTGCGTGGATGTTCACATGCATGCATGTTCCCAGGTGCCTGCGGGACGTACTGCACATGCCTGCATGTTCCCCAGGTCCTGCGTGGATGTACTGCACATGTATGCATGTTCCCCAGGTGTCTGCCTGGATGTACTGCACATGCATGCATGTTCCCCAGGTGCCTGCGTGGACGTACTGCACATGCATGCATGTTCCCCAGGTGCCTGCGTGGACGTACTGCACATGCATGCATGTTCCCCAGGTGCCTGCGTGGATGTACTGCACATGCATGCATGTTCCCCAGGTGTCTGCCTGGATGTACTGCACATGCATGCATGTTCCCCAGGTGCCTGCGTGGACGTACTGCACATGCATGCATGTTCCCCAGGTGCCTGCGTGGACGTACTGCACATGCATGCATGTTCCCCAGGTGCCTGCGTGGACGTACTGCACATGCATGCATGTTCCCCAGGTGTCTGCCTGGATGTACTGCACATGCATGCATGTTCCCCAGGTGCCTGCGTGGATGTACTGCACATGCATGCATGTTCCCCAGGTGTCTGCCTGGATGTACTGCACATGAATGCATGTTCCCCAGGTGTCTGCCTGGACGTACTGCACATGCATGCATATTCCCCAGGTGTCTGCATGGATGTACTGCACGTACATGCATGTTCCCCAGGTGTCTGCCTGGATGTACTGCACATGCATGCATGTTCCCCAGGTGTCTGCATGGATGTACTGCACATACATGCATGTTCCCCAGGTGTCTGCCTGGATGTACTGCACATGCATGCAAGAAGTACCTGGTCCCAATTGCTATCTTTTCTGGACTTGTAGCCTAACTTAGAAGGGAATTATATACTGGGGAGGAAGAGGGTGAATGAGAAAACCATGGTGCCAGGGGCCACACTGGCTGGAATGCAGACCTGACAACAAGAATTGAGCAATATTCCTGGATCAGCTTTTAGCTTACCAAACGCTCCCTCTTCAGGAACGTGGACCCGAACACAACCAAACTCTTTAAATTCCTGTCTCTGGATCTGATTGATGTTATTCTGGGAAAGCCTCTGGACTCCATTTTCCTGTCTGTAAGACGGGTATCACTACGTATGTGCCTTCCCTCGTGGCCAAGGGCTGTTTCTATTACAAGAGAGTGTTGGCTTGAGAATAGGCCTTCCTGGACCCTATTCTGGAGCACAGGTGTGCCAAGAAGGACTCATTACAGGAACTAAATTAGAGTGAGAACATTTTCCCAAGACAAGACTTAGACCCGCAAACTCATAATGAGATTATCATTAGGCAAGTTTTGACATTCCCATGCGTCCTGACAGGACCAGTTATTATCCTTTTCTCCGCAAAGGACTCAGCATGTCAAGATAGAGTTCAGGGGGGCATTCCCCCACTTGAATCTCTTGATTCCCCTCCTCCCCACCCCTCTCTGCTTTGGGCAGGCCAGGCTCCCAGCTGCCCAGGGTGTGTCTCAAAGGGCCGTGCAGACTTACCTACCAGTCCCTGGCACAGATCCAGTCTTTTGGCCTCGGCAGAATAGAAGTGGGGGTTGCTGTGCAGTTCCTGCAGGGACAGACAGAGTTGTCCTTGTGACCAAAAAGAAGCTCCTGGAGCTACAGTGACCATTGGGTCCCATACTCCTGAACTGGACTACGGGGACATCAATATAGTACATATGTATAAAAACCAGGGCTGTCCCAGAAAATCTGGCATAGATTCTGTCCATTGTGTTTCTCATTCCTTCTTAAAGCTCATGAAAGTCAGGTCTTGGAGAACACTGTGCAGACACAGCAGCAAAATGCCTTTTCTTGGAGTTTCTGTTAAAAATGGAAGTATCGCCCTGGCTGGTTTGGCTCAGCTGTTAGAGAGTCAGCCAGTGGATCAATGAGTCATGGATTCAATTCCAGACAAGAGCACCTGCCTCGGTTGTGGTTGGTTCCCCGGCCCTGGTCGGGGTCATGCAGGAGGCAACCAGTCGATCGATCAATGTGCCCCTCTCACGTCGATCTCTCTCCCCCTCCCTCTCCCTCCCATGCTCCCTCCCTTTCTCCCACTCCATCTGAAGATAAATGAAAAAGTATCCTCAGGTGAGAACTTTTTTTTTTAATGGAAGTACCTCTTACAGGGGTATCCTGTTTTCCTAGAGGTCTTTCCACTCTTATTCTCCCTGTCCTCCTCCTTCCTGACCCTGCACCCCAGTAGAATGGCCTCTGCGGTTTTCTACGCAGAGATGTGGCCTGGGGCGGGTGGAAGAGGGCCACGGGGAGGGGTTGGTGGTCTCCGCGTCGTGGCCTGCACTGAACCCTCAGTCTGTGGGCACAGTTCACTCAAGGGCAGAGGTGTGACCAGCCCTGTTCCAGCAGTGCCCAAGAGTTTCTGGGAGAAGTGGAATCACGACTCCCCTCTAAACTGGGAGGCGCACTGGGGGGTCCTACCCGTAGTAGGGACTTAGTGAGCCTGGCTTCCATGGTGTGGGCTGGCTAGGGAGCAGAGGGGAGAATTTGCAGCGCAGGTTGATTTCACCACCTGCTCCAGGACTTGCATGGAAATCAAGTTTGGAGATGAATTGCTTTTGAAGACATTGAAAAGTTGCCTTTTAGAGGAATTACTGGTACATTTATAAAGTGAAGAATACTTTTGTAAAGTGATTAATAGGTTCTTTTTTTATTTTTTATTTATTAATTTGTTTTTGTTACAGATGTTTCTCATTTTTCCCCCATTGACACCCTCCTTCCTCCCCGCCCCCCGCCCCGCTGCTCCATCCCCAGCTTTGTTGTCTATGTTCATTGGTTATGCATACATGCATGTAAGGTCTGTGGTCTATCTCTTCCCCAACAAACCACCCCGCTCCTCTGAGGCTTGTCAGCCTGTACCCCACCTCCATGTCTCTGGGTTAATTTTGTCCAGCAGTTTGTTTAGTTCATTATATTTCACAAATAAGTGAGATCATGTGATATTTGTCTTTCTCTGCTTGGCTTGTTTCACTTAGCATATGGTGTTACCTCTAAAAGTTAAAAATTAAACTGCCATTTGACCCAGTGATCCCACTTCTAGGAATATACCCTAAGAAACCTGAATCACCAATCAGAAAGAATATGTGTACCCCCATGTTCATAGCAGCACTATTTATAATAGCTAAGATCTGGAAACAACCCAAGTGTCCATCAGTAGACGAGTGGATTAAAAAGCTGTGGTACATGTACACAAGGGAATACTATGCAGCTGTAAGAAAGAAACATCTCTTATCTTTTGAGATGGCATTGAAGGACCTGGAAAGTATTATGCTAAGTGACTAATAGCTTCTTAATCTATGTGTTTCATGAGCCTGGTTTGGAGGAGGGGCACATGCAGTGACAAAGTCCATCCCTCTGCAGGTGGCACCGGCTGTGACAGGCGCATTGCAGGAAGCTCAGAGCACCCGACTATACTTTTGGCTGCAGCTGCTCTGCATATTTCTGGCCCGAGGGGGAGCTGCATCTTAAACCGCTCTCAGGATCACCCCTGGTTTTTCCTGGAAAATAGATATGTGGGAGCTTAGCCAGTTCCCTTCTCATGGGATCAATGACAGCAAGGCCAGGTATCCCAAAGCCCTGAGCCCTGGGAAGGAAGGTCGGGGTCGCCACCTGTGTGTGTCGTCGCAGCCCCCTCCCTGCCCCTCACCGGCGGCCTCCTCCACTGCAGGCAGGGCGGCAGCTTGCGCAGCAGGGGCCCGCTGCCGATGGAGCTCAGGGTGGCCGGGAAGCTGCTGTCTTCAAAGAGGCAGCCATCCCTCAGGCACTGCTCCTGCAGGGCCTCGAAGTCCTGTGTGGGGAGCGGTGCAGAGGCCCCAGGCGCGGCCTTCTGCCCTGGCTTCCATCGGCCTAGGAGAGGTGGCCACAGCGGCATAGCGACGTGTGGGCACGCACCCAGGGGGCCTTCCTGTCGGTTTCTGTTGCTCCTGAAAAGAAGACGGATGTCCCGTTTACTCACATCTTGTTAATGCATTGTCATTCCTTCCGGGAGGAGGAGGAAGATGGAGAGAATGAGAGAAAGAGACATCAGCCTGCGAGAAACAAAAAGTATATGCACTAGAAGCAGCCTGCAAGCGTGTCTGTACCAAGACGTAGTCCTATACATTGTAGGGCGACCAAGGAGCCTCTCCGTCTGTCAAGATCTTGACTCCCTCCAAAGCCCAACGTGAGCCCCTCCTCCGGGAGGCCTTCCTTGGGTGCCTGGCCTTCACTGAGTTCCCCTTATCCCGACTGTCCACTGACTCACCATTTACCCCATAGAGCGTCTCAAATGATCACTAGTGGAGGACCTGTATTCTTTTATTTCTAATTTGTCAAGGAACTTGATGAAATGAATTAACAGAAAAAAAAATTTAGAAAAAAGAGACACAAAACATAAGCCCTCCTTTAAAAAACAAATCGGATTCAACAGAAGTGCAATTATTGGTCAATTGCTATGAAAGATTCTAAACATTTACCCTTAGTTTGCACTTAGCTCATCAGTCTGCGGAAGGGCCCTGTTCCCTGACCCCAGTGTGGCTCTGCTCTGAGTCATGCACCAGCTCCTGGGTCTACACTGGGTGTTTACCCCCCGGGGCTAACACTGCTGGAATGCGGTGTCTCACACCCTCTTCTCTGTGATGTCAGGACGTCTGCGTCCAGGGCTCCTAGCGGTCACGGGTGCAAGCACACTTCCTGGGGGAAGACCCGGCACTCTCCTGACCCGGTGATGGGGATCCACAAGCTGCTACTCAGGCCTGTGGTTTCCCCTGAGTTTTTCTGCCCAATATAGATTGTCAAGCAAGGCTTCCTTGGCCTAACCTTGCTCCTTTCCCAATAAGTTTCTTCTACCCTATTTATACTTGTAAACACACACAAGGTCTCATAAAAGCAAGACTTTACCTTTTTGTCCCTTGGAGCCTGAGCAGCATTCACTGCTTGTGACACAACCTGTGGGAGCAGGTCCCTTGGTTTCAGAACATGACCCAGGCTCAGGCCCTCCTTACCAAGCACCGGTTCGCACTCGGGTTCTTCTCTGAGTCCGAAACCATTGCATCGCATCTCCTGCCAGACCTTGCTGTTCGTGGGCTCCAAGGACAAAATGCTCATCACGAGATCACATTTCAGAATGAGGCCAGACTCACAAATATCTTCCTCTTACAAGTTGTCCTAAGTCACCTTAAGGAGGGTCTAGACCCAGATGTGGACAGTTGACAGTCCTTTAAAGTCGTCTGTATGTTACAAACGGGGGTGAAACGGCCTCACTCCCAGGCCGCCACAGCTCTCTGCAGAGGGCCAGATGGCTGTTGGTCATATCTGGAAATTCACTGTAACTGTTATAAGTGAACTGGGTTGGAGCAGGCCCATAAAATAAGACTATGCAAATGAACAGGGAAAGCTAACTGGGGCCCAGGATATGAGAGCGTGCAGCCTAGAGGCACGAGGCCTGTGCCCGAGAGCTCTTCCCTTGGCCCCCAGAGGGTGTTAAGGATCCTCGGTCATGTTCTTCATGTTAGGATTCGTTTGCACCCAGCAAAGAGAGGGGCAGAGCCTCAATCTTCACTTTGTCCATGTTGGCTTTTCTTGCCTTGTCCACAACGCTAGGAGCGAGGGAGAGCTTCGTGATGGGGAGATGTGAGTAGTAGTCCTGGTGCTCATGATCCAGACGAGGCCTGTGAATGCTAACCAGCTGGTGATCATTGAGAAGCATCACCAGGCAAGACACCTGAGTCAGTTCCTTGCCTTGAGTTCTTGCCCTGATGTTCAGTTCATTCACATATTTACTGAGCACCTACTATGTACTAGACGCTGTTCATGCAAGACACATACACCTGGCTCTTGGTCCACCTAATGAGGGTAGAGTGGGGGCTCTGGAAAGGAAACTAAAGACATAGGGACCATGTCCTCACTCACAGTCACTATGAACCTGTAGCATCCTCCTAGGGACAATTGATTTCCAGAGAACTCCGGCATCTTGCCACAAACCACTTAGCTGTTCGAGGCAAAATTAGAATAGAGACCTAGGCTCCTAGCACAATGGTTCTGTTTGCATGATAAAGAAAAAGCATCAGATTAAAATTTTATCAATTCCACGTTCTTGACAGAATGAAAGAACAAGACTGATTTACCTTGGGCAGGGTCTGTACGTCTTCTGTGTAATAGATGGTGTAGTGGTCATGGGACTAGAAAACCTGGGAGATGTCCAGGTTGCCACCTCTTGCCCGTGTGCCTGTGGGCAGACCCCTGACCCTCTCTAAGCTGGTTTCCTTACCTGTCAACAGAGATGACACATACTGTGTCTACTCTCAGAACTCAAAAGAGATAACAATGTGAAGTGACTTGCAAAAACTCTAAAGCAAACACAGTCCCTGGGTCAAACTGGCCCAACACGGAACTTTGTAAGTAAGATTGTATTGAAACACAGCCATAGTTACCTATTCATATACTACTTATGGCTGCTTTTGCAACACACAACAGCAGAGTCGGGTAGTTGCAACAGAGATCATTGCCCATAAGCCTAAATATTTACTGACTGGTCCTTTACAGACAAGTTTGCTAAAAGCACTAACTCAGGGACATTGCTGTCACACGTTGCTAGGCACAGGGGTAAGCTCCAAGTAGGCATGCACAGAATAAAATGTGGCTAACTGCATTCGTCATTAAGAATTTATCTTAATGCGCCCTGGCCAGTTTGGCTCAGCGGTTAGAGCGTCAGCCTGCGGTCCGGAGAGACCCGGGTTCGGTTCCCGCTAAGGGCACGTACTTCGGTTGCAGTTTGTCCCCGGCCCTGGTTGGTTGTGCGGGTGGCAGCCACTCGATGTGTCCCTTCACGTCGATGTTTCTCTCTCTCTCCCTTCCTCTCTCTCCCTCCCACTCTAAAAAAAAAAAAAAAAAAAAAAAAGAATTTATCTTAATGCAAGAGAATTTTATCTCTAATCAATTCATTGATTTTTTTTTTTTAATAGATGCTTAACATTCGCAGGTTACTTTTGTGTCTCAAAAAGCGTTGAAGATGTGGCCTGCCATGTCTCTCTGCTAAAGTCCCTCATTCATTTTTCAGATGTCATGACAGCAGGCATTGTTAGGTGGTTTCGTGGGTAGCGAGTATGAATAGGAAAACCCACGTCTCTAAGTACAGGCCACGACCTGTTCATAAAAGAGGAAATGATTTTGTCAAATTAATGGTTTAAAAGGATCTTCGAAGTTTTTACTAGTTAGATATTTGTCAGATTTAGATTTCGTTTTTAACAGAAGCCCCAAAGCACTCGTCTTCCTTTATTAGAGCAGACAGTGCCTTTCAGGAAACAAGGAAGAACGTGGTCCGACTGGGAGCTGGGAAGGCGACAACGGTAGATGTTTTTCCGGATTCTCAGAGCCCGGCACGGTGTCGGGAACAAACAGACGCATGATCAATGTTTGCTGACCGGCTGACTGAGCAAACAAATAGCTGGGTGTTTCATCACGAGTGAAATGATATAGCCTGCCCTCCCCACCCCTCTTGACGTGAAAGAAAAGGGTGGGAAGGCTCTTTGTGAACTGCCAACCATTTGGATGTCTTCTGTTGTTCTGATGACATCCCTGAGGTTGAGGCTCATGTTCAGGGGCCTCCTTAACAGCCCCCTCTGACCCAGATTTGTTTTGGGGCTCCTTTCTAGGGAAAGAGGTTCGGTGGGTCCCGGGAAAAGAGCCCCAAGGAATAAAGTAGAGTCAGGGTCAGCCTTTAAGGAGGAAGTCCCCAAAGGGAACATGCTCCTTGGGTGTCGACTGGGCAGAGAAGAAGCAGGAAGCCCCCTGCCCTAGCCGGCGATGCTGGGGGGCTCCTCTGGGCGGACTGCGTGCCTATTTGGAGATATAAAAACTTGGCTGGTGGAGCAACTGCCCACTCTCCACTGCCCCACCTTCCTTCTGACTCCATGAGACACCGCAGAGCCACAGATCTTGGTAGGAGTGAAGACACCCGGACACTCCAGGGTGTAAGTCCTCGAGTTGTCTCACAGTAGAGACAGCTTTCCTTGGACTTGTGGACAGCACTTGGCCTGTGTGGAAGCCAGACCCTGACAAACACTCCTTGCAAATAAACCTACTATCAGGCTAGGTGGAACTCGGTGGTCACTGCATTCAGTGCCCCTCTGTACAGGTGAGACCTGTGAGCAGTCCCAGTGGGCTCTTGGCCAGCTCAGCATGGTGAGGGTGAGCCCTGGGCATCTCTTTGGCATCTCCTCTTCTTTCTTTCTTTCTTTCTTTCTTTCTTTCTTTCTTTCTTTCTTTCTTTCTTTCTTTCTTTCTTTTTTTATCCTCACCCGAGGACATTTTTCCATTTTTTTGTACAGACAGAGTGGGAGGGAGAGAGAGGAAGAGAGAGAGAGAGAGACATCGATGTGAAAGGGACACATCGAGTGGCTGCCACCCGCACGACCAACCAGGGCCGGGGACAAACTGCAACCAAGGTACATGCCCTTAGCGGGAACCGAACCCAGGTCTCTCCGGACCGCAGGTGAGCTCTCTAACTGCTGAGCCAAACCGGCCAGGGCTCTTCTTTCTTTCTTACCAGTTCCTCAAGCAGAACTCAATGGGGTCCCTCTCTTCCCCTCAAGCCTGCTTCTGGTCTTACAATCCCCACTCACAAGACCCCAGCACCCTAGTATCAGGTCATTTCCTACCCTTATTTCTCCGCCACCTTTCACACTTTTAAAGGACCAACCTTTTGATTTTTCTCCTTTCTGAACATTTCAAAACACCTTTGAATAGGAAAGAGTATCATAACAGATGTAAATTGGTTCCTCTTATTTGTCAGAAGTATTTGCATCTTAGAGGGTCAGACATTGAGCTGCATTACTAGTCAGACTGAAGGGGCTTCTCCTCTTCCTGAATTTACGCTCTGACTGGCCTGTTGCATCCCTCCCCACAGACCCCACAGTTCATGGCCTCGAATCCAGCCGGTCAGGGTCTCGGTGTTCTGGCCCCCTCTGTATAAACAACCCGCAGCTCTACCCCGATGTCCCTTTTCCCTGCACACAGACACAGGCCGGTTTTTGCCCTCTCTTGTTTGAGTTGCATCCACCTTTCAAAGCTCGGCTTGTTTCCTCTACTCCCCGGAGCCTTCTCCGGCCCTTCAGCCCACTTTCTCTTCTCACAGCCGACTTAGCTCCCTGATACACAGATGTTTGCGCCTCAGAAAAGGTATTTTAAGGACCTCTGAGCTTGTGTGACGGCTCGGGAGGCCGAAGGGAGCTGCCATGGAAGAGCGACCCTGAATCAGGTGTGACTTAGCACTTGCCCTTTGTTCAAGTGTATAAACTAGGGAGAAGGGTGCTGGGTAACAGGGTACCCCCACCGATCCCCCTCCCACCCCCACAGCTCAGTCCAGGACTCAAAGAATGGATGGCCTTGCATCCTAGGCTATGATTTATGCTACTCCAGAATATCAACCTATGCAGTTAGAAACCCAGGCAAGACTTTAGAAAAAGTAAGTCAATCAAAACCACCTTTCAGGAAAACTATTGGCAGTATATACTAAAGCTAAGCATATATATACCCTATGACACAATAATTCCATTCCTGGGTATTACCCAATAGAAATGATTAAATGTATGTACCAAAAGACGTGTACAAGAATATTTATAACAGCATTATTCAAAATAGCCCCAAACTGAAAACCACGCACAGGCCCGTGAACGTGGGTTAAACATCGGGCACATTCACACGATAGAACACTACGCAGCACTGAGAATGAACAAACAAGAACTACAGGCTACAGTACAGATGGAGTTCGCAAACAGTACTGAGTGAACAAGTCTATCTAGACACAGAAACTCTATGATTCACTACATAATTTTCAAAGAAAGGCAAAACCATGTGTAGAAATCAGCTCAGTGGTCACCCTTGGTTGGAGAGATGTATCACAAAACCAATTACACCACCAATAGTTAAATCAATCCTATTCATTTCTATCGATGGTATTGATGGCCAGGAGAGAGATTTAGAAGGGAATTTGAAAAGTGGTAAATCCAATTCATGTAAACAAGGCTTTAATTGAGCGCTCCCCCGGGGGCCAGGGGGCCCGAGATGGTGGGAGCACATGATGATTCGCCTCAAGGAGCCTCAGTCCATGGGCTGGGCGCTCCCTCTACAGCCCACTCTCTTCACTGCCGGGTGCTCACTCCGTTTAATGGCTGGTTGCCAACCCATCCAAGAATCCTTTCTAGACTTTTCTAGAGTGGAATAGAAAGTCAAAGATACTCTCTTACCCTGTTGAGTCTGGGAGAGCTCCCCAGTCCCCAAAACCTAGGTCCACCCCGTGGCTCAAGCTAGGAATACAGTTCCAGCCCTGAGCTCCTCTCTCTGACTATATTTGACTTTTCTGGAACACGACTGTTGAACACATATCCAGGCGGAATCCCATTTAACAAACAACTTCTCCCTCTGTCTCCACAGGAGAGGACTGATGAGCAGACTGCCTCCCCCAGAGTCATCCAGAGCTTTAATTAGTGATTTCAGATGCCCGGAGGGTGCTCAAACCAAGGTGGTTTCTAGATTTCTCATCCAGGCGAGGTCCCTCCAACCCCAGCCCCACAATCATAGGTATTTTTGTGAGGGACTAATTCACTCTCAAGTTGTCATCATTATCATCTTCACATGTGACTTCACGGAGACAGTCAAACCAGCCTTGCTGCCCATTAATACCCAGGGAGCAGCCTTTCTCCTGGAACAGTAGGATCCTACAAGGCCCCAGGCCATCTCTAGACCCCTTCCAAAATTGAGGCGGCTCAGAAGACCCCCGGCAGGGTCTGAGCCCTAGGAAATGACAATACCTAGCAGTATCGGTGACTCCAACAAATGACCATTTAGTAGAAATCAGTGCTGATGAGACTTTAGGGATCACTTGGGCCACACACACCCCTTATTTAATGAGAAGACTGATGCCAAAAGGATGACGTCTATTCCTTAAGAGCACACTGGTGAGCTAGAGCAAAGTTGAGAATAAAATTCACATCTCCAGGCTCCAGGGCTCTTTCCAGAAAAACTCTGACCTGCAAAGTTCAAACCAGGAGCAGCAACATCTTTTCTCTCACCTTTTGAGCCTAGACTCTGCAAAGGACCCTAGGGGCTCTGGACTAAATTGGACCCACCCTTGGAGCTAAAGAAACTTACCTGCACAGGTGATCTTACTTCTTTAAGCAAATGGACAGGCTCTAGTTCTGATGCAGTCAAAAGCCTGCTG